TAACAAATTTTTTGATACTGTCAATTTTTTTTATATACTCACCCAAATCTTCTTGCTAGAGTAAAAATGTATATATTACTTCTAAGCTTTTTAGTACCTCACTTGTGCTTATGATTGTGGTTTCAACACTATTATCTGCTTTATCAAAAACTTCATGATTAGATTTTTCAGGCTCTTCTTTAAAAATTTTAATAATTTTAGCCATTATAGAGCTTTTATTAGGAATTTCACAAACTATATTTTCTTCTAAAATAGCAAGGAAATCATCTATATTCAATAAATTAGATAAATTAAGAATTTCAATCAAATCTAAAAATTTCAGCAATTCATTAGTTTTTTTAATTTCTTGACTATATTCTGAAGACATTTTGTTATTATTATTTGAAAGAATATTGGTATGATACCAACAATTATAGATTGTTCTTTCTTTAACTTTATTCCATGTTTTAATAATATAATAAATTCATCGCAAGATATCCATTTTCAGATCCTCTATTTTTTTTACTTTCAACTTCTTCCATCTATTGAATATGAAAATAATGATAACTTTTCTTGAATTTTATAATGATCCTAGTATTCATCAGTTGAAGTTTAGAGGTTGTATGTGAAGATAAAAAAAGAATTTTAATATTTGGAAAATTTAAGCCATCTACATTATGACTTGAGCAATTGTCAAGGATTAATAAAACACATTAACCATTATATTTTGTTGTAACTTGCAAATTAAACCAATGAAGCCACTCTTGAAAAAGGGTTATAAGTATCCATGCTTTAGTATTATTATAATAAAGAACTGGTAGGTTAGAAATCTTAATATTTTTAAAGTATCGTGGCTTTGCATATTTTCTGATTACCAAGAAATTTAGTTTATGAGAACTATCAGCATTCGTACATAGTATAATAGAAATCTGCTCTTTGTTTTTTTACGCCAAGTAAGATGTTGTGTTGTTAATAAATAATCAGGCTCTAATGTAAAAAAGAGCTTTTTATCCATATTGTAAATTTGATCAAGAGAATATTTGGCATATTTTTCTTGTAGTAAAGAAAGAGAGTTAATTATAATAGTATTATCAATGGATCCTGCTTTTTCATATAATTTTTCTTTATGAATTCTATTGCGTTTTTTAAATTTATAGAGCAAACCTGAAAAAAATTGTAAAGTACCTTTCAAAATTTCTAAACCTTTAGATAGTTGCTTTGCCTTTTCAATTAACATAGCTTCACTTATAACTGTATAATACTGATAGATTAGTATAAATTTTTTAAGAGCTAGTTCAAACCAAAAAGTAGTAACAAATCTGTTTTACCTTTTATTTGGGTTATCAATTTCAGAATTAAGTTATTTTTCTTTTGTTTGCAAAATTCTTGTAATAGTTGACTTATAAACTTTAATACCTCATTTCTTTTCAATCTATTCTATATATTTACTTTAAGTTATTTTATTTTTATAGACAAAATAACAAAATTCAAGTTTTTGAGCATTAGTTAAAGTAGTTTTAGACGGTATAATATTTATCAAAAGGCTTTAGATAATAAAAAAATTTTTGAATCTTTCAAATTCATTGCTAGCCTGAGCGATTTGATTTTTATAACCTATTTTATATATTTTAGATAATCAAAAAAAAAATTCTATTTTATTCTATTTGATCTATCTACTTTATTGAACAAACAGATCTCATATTTGGGGCAATGTAAAAGAAATATTTTTATACAAATTGATTTTTTTATAGTTTAATTTATTTAATTACTAACTTCTCTTATCTTTTTTCTTGTGAGTTCAAAGCATCCTCTAAATTCACAATCACGCATATACTAAGCCTATTTCTCTTTTTAGAATCATTACTTTATTTTTTCTCATAGTTATACTTGACTATGACTGCAATTACTTTTTTATTTTGGTTAGAGACTTTGGGTTAATTAGATCATATCTGTCTTAACATAATAAATAATAATAAAATCAGATACTACGATTTGAAATATATATATATACTTTGTATAATATTTTTCAATATTGTGAAATATACTGATATAGCAACTTATAATCCAATTCAGTATTGTATATTACTTGGTCGTAGTTTACTAAAATTTGAATAAAATAAATCTGCTTTGCAATGAGATCTTAAAGTTAACGAATTGCAATATATAGTAAAAGTGCATTTAAAGAAGATATTTTTATATATGTAATATATAGATAAAATCTAAAAATTGTTGCATATACAGGTTAGAGAGGGTGCATTTAGCTCTTAAGTTCCAAGTACAGGACCAGGTTCAAGATATATATAGGGTATGCATTTATGAAGAGTGTATTTAGAGAAAGTTCTCTGTATCATTAAAACCAAGATCTCTAAAGATAATATACTTACTCAACTTCAAAAATTTAAAACTTTTATCTATTTCTGGTCTTGTACAAAATAGTGCCAAAGCTATGCTGCTATTATGATTCAAAATAGACTTAAACTACATATATATAATATTCTTAAAGAGCCAGAATATGCTATTCTATTGTTCTCTTCTTCAAACACAATTTTAAGTTTGAAATTATTAATATATATCTTCTCGTAACAATTTCTAGCTTTATTTACAAACTCAAAATACTATTACTTTAAAAAACTTGGCAATATTATTAGACAAGTTAAATGTTCTTTAAATAACAACACCTATACCTATTTACCATAACTCTACATTAACCCACCTTAATTCACAATATCAACTCCAGATTCTTAACATTATATCATACTACTCAACATTATCTAACTAGATAAACATAGCAAACAATAAATAGAAAGCACTTTATCATATTCACAATATTGAAAATATTAAAAAAATAAAGCAACAAATAGATGAAAATATTATCAAATATTGCAATAAGCTTCAATTCAACCTTATATCTATGATTAATAGTATACTTAATCGATATAAAGATTTTATTAGATTTAATAATATCAAATCTGACAACTATGTGATTACAGATCTTGATGAAATCAAATCCTATATACAAGAACACTTTAACCAATAGACTAGATATAGAGCAATCAATAAACAGATATATAATACTATATATTTACAAAATATCTCTTAAACTGTAGGCTTTTCCAGACAAATTTGC